AATACTGGAAGTGGATGAGAGATCTTAAAGATTAGATCCTGGAAGACACACACACTAGAAATAGCACACTAAGATGATGTCTAGGCTGTCTGAGCCACCTCCTATGTGAGAATCGTTTTAGAGAAATATACATCCTGTAGCAATATAGGTACCAGTGCAGACTCAACAGCTGCCCTGCGAGCTGGAAGGGCCCATTGAGTAGCTATTGACTGCTCCTGGGGACTTCCCGGATGGGAAGTGACTCTGAGAAAGGAAGGAGTCTGGCACATTGTTTAGCACATCTGGTGGACTGGCCTGATTGTGAAGTTGAATGTTGGCCTGTTCACAGAATTGCAGTGCTGGAAGGAATCTTAAAATCATGTGAGTTGCTCCCCATCACTTGTAGATGCTTATGAGATTTAGTCCTACAGGTTTTTCTTCAGAGAATTCTCTGGGCCATAATTACTGGCTCCTAACAGCTGGATTCTTGTGAACATAATCCAAATTTAGGTTCCAGATACCTCCAACATATGTGTATATGTGTACATACTTTGAGCTTCTTTTGAATATACAAATCACTTGCCTGCCTTTAGTTATATGAAATTCAATGAAGTTTAACATAAATGTTGACTTGAATGATGCAGTGGGACAAAACAGTATTATATTTCTAACCAATTCCCTCCATGTCTCCCTTCCCCCATCATTGTTCTCTAGAAGTGGAGTAACCTTATGGCGAATATTGGGGCCCATGCCAAAGCCTCTTCAGTTCTGGAATAGAGAAGAGAGTTGTGTATTTGGAGCTAGAAGATCTGTGGTTTGAGATGCAGCTCTGTGACCTTGAGCAAGTCGTTTAACTTGATTGATTCTCCAAGCTTCAGTTTCCTCATTAGAAAAAAAAAAGATAAAACAGTAACATCCTGTTGTAATGGAATTAAATGAGCACAATGTCTTCAAAATGCCATACAAGTGAAGAAATTGTAAATCACCTTCACTGATTCTTCTATATGATTTTTTTTTTCTCTTTTCCTAAAGATAACCTCATATTGACCTGGTCTTAACTTTGTATGCAGACAGCAATCCACAGTCCTAGCTGGTTGATCCCCCCGACCCCACTTTAAAATAATGTCCTAGAAGTGGCAGGGACTGAATATATTCTGGATGCATCGCACTGAATATGGAGACATTATGCATAATTAAGCCTAGCCCCAGCTCCAGTGGACAGTATCAGTTTGCCTTTGAGGTGCCTCTAGTAAGAGGGTGGGCTCAGGATGGAGTTGGACCGCTCAAGTTGGAATCCTGGCTTCACCGCCGCTTGCCTTGGGCAAGTCATTTAACCTCTTTTCACCTCAGTCTTCACCATCAGTAGAGTGGGTATATTAATAATTTCCATCATATATGGTTGTAATGTATTAATGAGATAATTTAAAAATGTTGAGCCCAGTACCTAGCACATAGGAAGAAATTGCCCATTACACGTGGATTCTTATAATAATAATAATTATTATTTTTAATTGTGGTAAAATTGCCATAACATAAAATTTACAATCTTAATGATATTTAAGTGTACATTTCAGTAGTGTTAAGTATATCCACACTTTTGGGCAACAAATCTCCGAACTTTTTCCTCATGTAAAACTGAGACTACATCCATTAAACAATTCCCCATTTCCTCCTCCTTCCAGCCCCTGGCAACCTCCATTTGACTTTGTTTCTATGAATTTGACTACTCTAGGAACCTCACATAAGTGGGATCATACAGTATTTGTCTTTTTGTGACCATAGTTTTTTTAAGTCTTAGCCCACCATAGCAATCTCACCCTCTCCCATTTTTCGTATTCTATAACCTCATGATTGCCTGCCTTGTTGAACCCTCATCATTAATGAATTATTTCCTTTCGTAAGGGAACAACACACTATACAGCTCCATTTCATCCTTTTAAAGAGTGCAGGATTAGGGAAAAGGGAAATTAAAGTGAAGGAGACATAAAAGGAGGGCATTAAGTAAGAAAAAAAACCATTCACTCACGGCAGCGTGAAGCCTCTGTAGGGCTCCTTCCTCCTGATTGTGTGAAAATTCAAACCTACACACCAGTAGAGAGAATAGTATAATGAACTCCCATGTACCTGTTGTCCTGATTCAACAGTTATCTCGATTTTTGGGGGGGCCCATTTTTAACAAGTTTCGGGAAGAAGAAAATATTAGATCAATAACACTAGAGGCAAGTGTTTCTTTGCTTGTTCACGCAGCGAAGTTTGTTTCCTGAGTGATAAAGGGTTTCTTCTATCTCGGAACTTCTTACTGCCTTTAGGTTGAGGAAAAAAGGAACCAGGATTGTATGATTGTAGGCGTGTCGTGTAATTCGGTTTCCACATCTGTAAAGGATAGCTCTTGTGACTTCTAAGGGTGGCTTTAATGGAGCACTTGGCCTAGGACCTGACACCTGATAAATAATCAGTGAAGATGTTAGTATTTGGGGATGCTGTGTCTGTGGAAAGAAGAATCACCAACCAGGTCCTTGAAAACATGGGACCGAGACATGGCAGCTGTGGACCAACAAGACAACCTGACTTTACCCTTGATAAAGAGAGTTGTGATAAGCACTAACTTTCTAGAATTGCACCTATTGTCTGCTCATTAACCCAATTTTATTGGCCATTGTACAGGTTCTGTCCTCAGTTGTGCCTGGGTTAAGGAAAATGATTATTTAATGCAAAATTAAGTAGTACAACCTCTTTATATGCTTTTTTTGGGGGCAGTGGTGGGATTACTATTCATAATAAAAAAAAAACATTTAGTAGGTTTTAACTATAAATAAAAAATTCCATGATTTGAATAACCAGATACATTTTATATATCTGGCTCCATGAATCCCTCTTTTCATTTTTGTTCTTTGGACTTCTAGAAAAAATTCTATCTACTGGTAAAGGCTATAGGTATAAACTTTACCCTTCTATACCCTTAGGATATAAGAAGTAGATAGAAATTAAGAAAAGGAAATTATGGGCCTACACTTCTTTAAAAACGTATAGTTTATACACTCGTGTGTTGCTTAACATTGAGGATACTATCGTTCTGAGAAATGTGTTGTTAGGAGATTTCGTTGTTGTGCGAACACCATAGAGTGTACTTACACAGACCTAGATGGTATAGCCTACTACATACCTAGGCTGTATGGTACTAATCTTATGGGATCATTGTCATTGACCGAACAGTCATTATGTGGTGCATGACTGTAATTGTATAGAGCCCTTGATTCTGTTGTATTACTTTCATTTTTGAATCTAGTTTAAGCCATGAGTTTCATCTTCCTATGATTTTTTCTTTTGGTGACATATCTGCTGTTTCAAAAATCCTAAGTAGTTTTAAATGCTTTTCTCTGTTAATATGCAAAAAATGTCATAAAAGAAAATAGTTTTCAAATAATCAACAACTGAGTCAAAATATTGTTCCTCCAAAGATCCTTATTTGATTGTGTGTCACAACTTGTACAACAGAACATATTGTGCAAAATAGTTTAATTTGCATTGACTAATGCGACAGGAATGGCCAGTCTTCCTTATGCTTGGACAAATCAAATACATGGGTTTCTAAGAATTGTAACTTTTAAAAGTTTCCTGGTTTTTGCTGTTAAAGTCAGTTGGTAAAATAAGTTTTATACTAAGGCTCCTAAGACTGAGCCCGAGTAACCTCTAACTATGCTAATTTTTTCATCACTTGTAATTAGGTCAACCAGTTCCATAAAGGAGGCTTGGGTTATAGCTTCTAGAGGTTTTGTAATGTAGACATTCTTCTTTTTAACTAATCTTTGTATCAAGTGAAAAAAAAAAGAAATGAGTTATTTGGTAACGACAATCCTTCACTATCTCATGCTTTTGAGTGCCTGTGTTTTTATTTATTTTTTTAATTTTTAGTTTTTTTTTGTGAGGAAGACCCGCCCTGAGCCAACATCTATTGCCAATCCTCCTCCTTTTTTTCCCTTTTTCTCCCCAAAGCCCCAGTAGATAGTTGTATGTCATAGTTGCACATCCTTCTAGTTGCTGTATGTGAGACACCGCCTCAGCATGGCCTGACAAGCAGTGCATCAGTGCACGCCCGGGATCCGGACCTGGGCCTCCAGTAGCAGAGTGCGCACACTTAACCACTAAGCCACGGGCCTGCCCCGAGTGCCTGTGTTTTTATACTTTTCCTTTACAAAGAGTGTGTGTTATTGGAGATACAAAGAGTGTGTGTTATTGGAGATAAAAGAGGTAGATAGGTGTGTTACTAGCAACACAACATGAAGCGTGTGGGTTTGAGTTCCTGTGGAACTGGCATCCCCACTCTTTGTTGGGATACCACTAGTTGATTTAGGTAATGACGCTGCTTGTGTTCTGCATCACTCCAGCTCCGTAAGTGGTGACACACATCTGTGAAAAGGCCACGTGGTTTACTGTGAGGGTGAAGAAGTCCACAGCCATGGACAGAGCAAAAGTAACCAACAGAAGTAGCATGAAAGCCACGACCTTGGCCTTACTACTAACTAGCTGAGCTCTCTGCTGTGGTTTTTGACTCTGTTGACACAAAGAGATGTGCAGGGGCTGAGAGATGTCCCATGGATGCCCAGTCACTTCATGACCCAGAGGCCCTTTGGCCTATCTACATCATCAATGTGCCCTCTTTCCACTTCCTGCTGCCCTTTTTGTATATCTATGCCAGGGCACAAGCAGGGAAGAATAAATTAGTGTAATCTTTTATTAGTGGCTTTGGGAAAGGATTTATGGAAGAGGAGGTAGAAATTACTGCCCTCTTTTCCCCTGCCTTCCCTGCGGATACCTGAGAGTAGTAAGTTGTGTTAAGGAAGGGGAGGAAGAGACTTTGGGACCCCCAGACCTCCTTCTCAGCAGGCGTATCCTTCTGATCCATCATACAAGATGGTAGCCTTTGGGTTCTTCCTTCTAAAAGCTGTTCCTTAGGGCTTGTGCATCAGCCTGGTGACTCTGGACTTCCCTGTATTCCTTGGTGTTCTCTTCTTTCCTTACAGTCTTCCGTTTGTGCTAAGATTGTGCAACTCCTTGGACAGAATGAGGTGGACTATCGCCAGAAGCAAGTGGTCATCCTGAGCCAGGATAGCTTCTACCGTGTCCTCACTTCAGAGCAGAAGGCCAAAGCCCTGAAGGGCCAGTTCAATTTTGATCACCCGGGTAAGTTGGGGAATTGAAGGAGTATGTGTGTTTGTGGATTGAGGAAGTTACTTAACCTCTCTGAGTCTGTTTCCCGTTTATAAAACAGGACTAATAGGTACCTACAGGGGGGGCTTATATGAAGGAATTTTGCAACACATCATGTAGTGCTTGGCTCCTTAAATACTGATCGAATCTGTGTCTGAACAAGGGTGACTCTGTATGAGCCTGTTACTCAAGATGGGCCAGACACAGGATAGAACATACACAGCTGGTTCTTCTGCCTCCTCTGATCTGAAGCAGCCTGTGTCACAACCTCCCCCACCACCCTGCACGTGCATGCACATAGCGTGTGTGTGAAACTCACTGACCAGCAGAAACGGAGATGGATGGTCCAGGATGGCTATCTGAATGACTTTTGCCCTGACAGTCCCAGATCAGCACACTGCCCCTTTAGCTGGTTTGAGTTGCTTATCATTGTTGCAATGAAAACTTGTTGGCATGGTGCCTGCTGCACTCCCCTCGTCGTGAGCATGCTTTCCAGGTTAACATGCCAATTCCCAGGACAGCAGCTGAATTGAGAGGGAGGAGAGAGGTGTCTGAGGCCAGGGATGCAATATCAAGGGAGAAAAAAGAAATCCACTTCTCAGAACTCATTCATACATTCTGTTTTGAGACACAGAGTTTGCATTCTGCTTTGGGTAGAAATCTGGCTTTTGGGGGGGGGATATGCTTCTCTAGGGTGTGATATACATATGTGAAACACAGGTTTGTATGGATGTCCTGTGCATGATTATAGGAGAAATCATTTTAAAATTAAGAAACATTTTAAGTTTGCTTACCTTCAGATGCCTTTGACAATGAACTCATCTTCAAAACACTCAAAGAAATCACCGAAGGGAAAACAGTCCAGATTCCCGTGTATGACTTTGTCTCCCATTCCCGGTAAGTGAGCTGCTCTGGGCTGGGGATTGCTACCTGTTGCTCCCCAGAGCATCCCCATTTCTCGAGCACCAGGCCTCTGTCCTCCCACTGCCCGCTGCCCGCTGCAGCCTGTCTGTGAGGGGGCAGTGGCAGTGGCGTGTGCCATGGGTGTGCACGGGTTAGAGAGTTTATCCAGGTGCTTCCTGGAACAGTCCGGTCATCACCTTCCGTTAACACTGAAGGATGGGTTCATGAATTTGGGCTCAAGTCAGGGACATTTGTCCTGATCCACATCCCCGAACTGTTGTTCCTGGAATAAGATATAAGGGGGTGGGGCAGAGGAAGGGCAGGAAGAAGAACAAAGAACTATTCTTTCTGCTCTCCTGGTTTACTTGGGATTGGACTGTGTGGAGAGAGTAAGGGCACTGAGGTCGCCAGAGACCAAAGACTAAACCCTCCAGAGTTCCTCAACCACATCAGACCAGTCCTTTCCATTTATCTGTTTTCACGCTCCTGATGAGGAATAGAGGATTGCCTTGACTTCAATCTCATCTCCCTGCCCTCTGAGTGGTGGGAAGGGGCTCCTGGAGGACTTCACTCCTGCTGGCCGGACCCCACGCTCCTTCAGAGCTGTGCAGAGCTCTCTGCTCATTCTGTTGTCTTTGGGACTTCCCAGGCCGACTCAAAACTCTTAAATAGTATCTTGTACCACGTGTAGATCCTTCCATAGTCTGGACTAGTAATTGCTCAATAAATGTTGTTTTTAGCCATGGGCTGTTTTGAAAGTTTCTCCCATCTGCTTTCATTCTTCCTTCCTGGATTCCATTCTCTCTTGAGTTGGTTTTTTTTAAATGAGAAATTAGATCTCTTACATCTTTTGCTACCAAATGTTTCTATAATCAAAAGCCCAATCTTTATCTCCCTGTGTGTTCCTTTAGTACACATCTCAGGCAGCCTCTAATGCAGTAAACCTCACACATTCTATGCCTGTCTCACAAGCCAGAATTTGAGGGTGTGGCAGAGATTTGGTTAGAGGAGGAACAAGAGAAAGAGCACACTGAGATGGAAAGCCAGGCTGCTTTGGTACTCACCTTCATCCCTCACCAGTATCTTCTGGAGCACTTCCTATTATGGACCAGAGTCTACTGTGATGGAGATTCAAAGTTCAAGATCCTCCTCCAGCATCAAACCACTACAGACCGTGCAGGAATAAAGAGGTTTAGTGTAGAAATTGGAGCTAACATGAATGATGAGGGGGCTGGGAGGGTGAAGATCTGGGAGGCTGCAGCCAGAGAATCGGAGAAAATAGTCCCCACCAACTGCAGCCTGAGGCAGTGGAGAAGAAGCCAGGGTTCATGGCGAGTCCAAGAAGCTGCCGCATCTGAGCCCACAGCCTCGAGGTGGGAACTTGTGGAGTGTCTGCAAAGTTTCCTTGTCTTGCTATTATGATCTAAAAATTACGGATTTTGTTTCACTTCATCTTCTAAGTCTCTCATTGGCAAAGTAACCTGGGAACCTGTGGGGAAAGGGATTCTGGGAATTGTAGTTTCTAGCCTTTGCAGGGAGTGGTGGTAATGTCAAGTTGACGAGAGACAGTCTAGCCCACTACCTCTCAGGTCCAAGGCGGGGCACTGCTACAGAATTAAAATGCAGCATGACAACGAAGGTAAGGGCCTGTGGTGGAGTGTAAGGGAGGGAGGCAGGGCTGCGGTATTTAGAGCAGGTGGCATAGAGGAGGGGATACTTAAGCTGTATATTGGAAAGCATAAGAAGTTGTTGAGGAAAGAGATTGCCAAGGTAATGGGTAGGGAGGCATTTTAGGGACAAGCTTGGTAGGGAATTGCAGTTGAGTGGCTGTGGAGGGATGGGATTGGTGTGTGGGAAGAGCCGCAGGAGAAGAAGGAAGCTGGGAGGTAGGCAGGCCTCAGATCAGGAGGGGCTATGGACGCCAAGGCCAGGAGTGCAGATGTGTTGGCAGTAGGGAGCCACAATGGCTGCTATGTAGGATTGGAAGGGTCATTCTGGTGACAGGAAGAAAGGATTTGCGATGCTATTTGTGAAGCCCTTGGAGTAGCCCAGATGAGAGACCAATAAGGGCCTGAAGTAAGGCAGTGGACATGAGGGTAGTTGGCAGGAGTCAGGACCTGACCAGCTTAGAGTTGAGGGATGGAGGAGAAGATGAGTGCCTTGTGCTACACCAACTCCATCAAGTTCATGTATTAACCAAAGAAACCCCAGCAGAATTCCCATCCAGACATGTTTCACTTTTTTCTCCTGATTCCTTTCATACCTTACATTTTAAAACTCTGTTCTTCAGTGGTCCACAACCCATCTCTTCTGTGAAAATTTTCCTGCCCCCACCACCCCCGCACCAGCAATACCCCCAACTCTCAAGGGGCACTCGTTAGGGACCCAGCTCTTCAGGGTTAACAGATCCTGCCCAACCCATGGGCCTTTCGTGGTGACATACAAACAAATGTTGAACTAAGACAGAGAAGACACATATCTGCTGTAAATACCCTTCTCTGGTCTTCCCCTTCCTCATAAGTGAAATGAGAAGGTTGGACTAGGTTACTGCAATGCTCTGATAGTCTGGGTTTCGTATGTGGACTTCCCAGCCACGCTCTAAACTCTTAAGCTGAATATTGCACCGGTGGCTCCTCGCACATGCTGGGCTAGTAGTTGCTCAATAAATATTTTTAGCTCTGAGCTGTTTTGAAAGTTTCTTCCACCCAGACCTATGTGTGGACTTGGGACGTGATCGATTCCAACTTCTTTGGGCACGAACCACAAAGCAAGCAGTTGTGTTCTCCTTACTTTCCCAGGATTGGAGAGGCGTGTCTGTTGAGTTGGAAAACCACCTATTCCTTTCTAGTGTTGATCAGTTAGGCATCCTGATCAACACTTGAGGGAGCGTCAGTATATGTAAACCCGGCATGGTCCTTGTGCTCTCCGTTAGTGTGTTTTTTACATGGCAGCCTGGGAATCCCAGACACATGTTTTCTTTGCTTTCCAGCAAAGCCTTTCTCATCCTCTCCTTGGCCCAGGGCGGTTGCCTGGAGTCGCTTTATTTCACTCACTCATTGATCCATTTCCCTATCCATTTCCCTTCTGGACTCTGCCCAGTTTGCTTCCTTATCCTGAACCACAGTGGGAAGCCTGATTCCTGGTAGCTGACATTCCTCTAAACTGGTGCTCCTCAGCCCTGGCTACACATTAGAAATACCTGGGGAGCTTTCTAAAAATATCATTGCTCTGGCTCCACCCCAGACTAATGAAATCTGAGCCCCAGGGGGATGGCGTCCAGGTATAAATATTTTTTCAAAGCTCCCCAGATGATTCTGTGTACATCTGGACTTACACCATTGTTCTAGAGAGTCTCCTAATCTTACTAACCTGGTCCTTTTCTGCTGCATATTTTGCCTCCTTAGTAGCTTTTCCAGCAGTGCCTGCCTTAGAATTTAGGCAGAAACCCAAGGGTCTGAGCTGATAAGGAATCTGAGAGTTTATGGGAGGGAAGTTCGAGTGTCATCCTCTTTAGTTGGCGGCTGCTTCTGACCTCCCTGTGTTTGCACAGATAAACCTATTGTCTTAAGAAACTTTAAAAAAAGTTGTTTTATTTGGTTTTATTCACAGACATTTGCTGGTCCACTAGTCAGGGTGAGTAGTGAACCTTGCAGTGGTACTCATTGCTTCCCTTTCAGTGAATTTTGAGCAAGAGTCAGTAGGTGACGTGCAAGGTAGTTTTAGGACAGAATCAAAGGATAAGAATACAATGAAAGTTGAGGCGAGGCGAGCTGGATCCAGCAGGCCCCATTTATCCATTTAGCAATGTTTCACCCCCCTGGCTTTTGAAAAGTCATGTTTCATTAGTATCTGCCTTGGGCTTCCCACCCCTGTGGGATAGATGGATGAGGTAATGTGTGTGCTTGCTTTGTTGATAAGGAAGAGGAGCTCTAGGGAACTCGGGGACTGACCCCTGGCCACAAAGCCGGCCTGTGGGGGAGCCAGACCACACAGACTTCGGGAGTCTTTACTTCTACATAGAAGTTTTCTCCTCTCCATCCTCTTTTCTGAGCTTTCTTTTTTCCCTCTGTCCCTTCCTCCCTCCTTCCAGCTGCCTCAGGACTGGGGGAGGAGGGAGTGGGGTTGTTGGGAGAAAACTGTGAGTTTCTGTTTTTGAAAGTTCAGAGTGTTAGGTTCCATAAATGCCAGGCCTGAGAGCATTCCTAGAGACGCCTTCAGAGAAAAAAAAAGCACATCTGTTTTTGTCTGTCTTTATTCTTCATTCAACAGCTGGTTTTTTCTCCCAAGGAGAAGGATGTCTGCCCTCTGTTTCTGCTTTATGGCGAAAGCCCAGAAGAACTGGTCAATGGAGACCTTTGCCCCAGCCGTGATCGCCCTTTTTTGGGTCTTTGGTGGTGGTCTGAGGGCTCTATAAGGCTGTGTTAGCTAAACCCTTGCAGCCCCACCCTAGGTCTGAGGGGGAAGGACCCCAAGCCCCCAGCGTGCTCTTGCTTCTGTTCTCCTTCTCCCTCTCTCACCCTGCCTGGCTGGGCCCGTCATCTGCTCTGTGCTTTGCAGGAAGGAGGAGACGGTCACTGTGTACCCCGCGGACGTGGTGCTCTTTGAAGGGATCCTGGCCTTCTACTCCCAGGAGGTGCGGGACCTGTTCCAGATGAAGCTTTTCGTGGACACAGATGCAGACACTCGGCTTTCCCGCAGAGGTGCGTTCTCAAAGCCTCCGGTGGCCCTGTTGGTGGCCTGCCACAGCTCCCTGCCCTCCCTGAGTCTGAAGCCCGTGCTTTCCCTGAGGTGGCCTTGTGGCCATGTGGCCCAGCCCAGCTGTGTCAGTTCAGCCCCAGGATGTGCTGCTGCCCAAATGTTTGGTGATGTTTGAGAAGGGGTTAGTCACTTACTGTTTTGGATAACACAAGGCTTGTGAGATCACGGAGATGAAATAAGAAGTTTACATTACGGTTTTGCTGGAAAAAGGTTTGATTAAATGCTCAGTTCCTTCTGATTTTCCCAGGCACCGCAATCAAGACAAGAACAACCGTAGGACATCTGTGGGCAGGAACACCCTGTGCCTGCAGTGCTGGGCAGCTCATCCTAGCAGCCTGCTTCTCTAGCCCTTCATTTTCCAGAAAGCTCTATGGAGGTTGTGTCACTCTGTTCAGCTAGCTCCAGAGCAAAGTCGGTGGTTCCCTCTGCAGGCCTTACTGAGCATGGGCCTGTGTGAGACCCTCGTGCCTGTGTACTGAAGACACAGGACTGCTCGTGGGTTGGGGAGCTGAGCTTGTGAATTCAGCTCTGTAGGACACTGAACAGAGAGCTTGCTTCCCCTAGAGCGATCGGGAGTCTTCAGGAGAAAGAGGGGTAGGTCTTGGATGTGGTCGGGTGATGGTGTAGGCAACCCAAGAAGGTACATGGTGCAAATATAGACACACATGGCTTGTTCTGACAGGCAGGTGGCTGGAGTTCACAGAGGGCTATATGAAGAGACACGAGAAAGTAGCTTGGGGCAGGTTGTGGGGACTGAAGCTTCCAATTTGGTTCCTACTGAGGGGTTTTGAGCAGGGCAATAACGCGGCCTCAGATCTCTTTTGGAAGATTATTCTGACTGGGGAAATATAAGTGAAGACTGCAGCCAGGGGGACTGTTTTGCTGATCTGGACTACAGGTAGAGCTGTCATCCGTAGGTGGTGGGAGGAGGATGGAGAGATGAGGAGAGATGAGAAAGATACCCGCAGAGTTAGAACTGACAGGACCCAGCAAAGGCAGTGGGGTGGGGGTGACCGAAGAGAGGAGTGGAAGGTGACTAAGGCTCTGAGTCTCCATTATGCGAACGAGAAGCGAGACACAGGAAATGACAAGGCTAGCTCCTGGTCACAGAGCAAATCATTGGCAAATTCAAATTTTGTAAGCTCCAGTCCCAGTCTGTGAAATTTTCTCTTCTCGGTTCATGAAACAAATTTGTAGTTTATCCAATTCAGTACTCTCATTGCAGGAACTATAAATGGAACCAGCAGAATATGGAGAAACAAGTCCCTGGGTTTTGCACTCCCAAGTAGTAACAGGATCCACACTTTATTAGTAAGATGGAGCTACATTTCAGCTCCCAGGTGAGTGGGGGAGAGGTAGGACTCTGTGATGGAAAAAAGAAGGAGAGTGAGAAGCCTGTATTCTAGTCCCAGCAGAGCCTTCAGCCAGCTTTGTGACTTTAGGGGCTCTTGTGACCTCGCAGGCTTGGGTTTCTTTATGGGTAATATGAGGGAGACAGGCCTGTTTTTTAGGGTGTGACTCTGGCCAGTTGAGACTTGCGTGGTCGTTTTTGATAGATAATTGAGATAACTGAGCCTGACAATCCCTCATGCATCTGCTCCAGGACCTGGTTTATCACCTGACTCCACAAACCCACGTCCTGCCTTGGTTGATCTGCTCCATGTCCATAATAGCTTGGCAAATTAGGGAGGCAGCATGATGCATTGCGGGAAAAAAGTTGGAGTCACATGAGCTGGACTTAATCCTGGTTCCACCATTTGGTAGATGTGTGATTTGGGGTAAATTATGTTTTAACCTCTTTGTACCTCAGTTTTCTATTGGTTAATCATCTAATGATTAGTAGTCCTGGGGTAGTTGTGGTGATTAGAGGTGATGCACGTAAATGCCTGGCAGTGCATTAGTCAATACATATCGATGTGGTAGATCAGAAATCTGCTGCACCCGAGGTGGTAAGATGTTGTTCTGTTTTTTTTTTTTTTTTGTGAGGAAGATCAGCCCTGAGCTAACATCCATGCCAATCCTCCTTTTTTTTTTTTTGCTGAGGAAGACTGGCCCTGGGCTACCATCTGTGCCCGTCTTCCTCCACTTTATGTAGGATGCCACCACAGCATGGCCTGACAAGCGGTGCACTGGTGCGCGCTCGGGATCCGAACCCAGGCCGCCAGCAGCGGAGCGTGCGCACTTAACCTCTACGCCACGGGGCCGGCCCCTGTTCTGTTTTCCTGAGTTTCCTTCAGGGCTGGTCAGAACCTCTTGAGTGGTCACATCTTCAGGAGCTGGTGACATTGGGCTGTGCCATCGTTAGTCCAGCAGGTGATACTAAGGTCCCAGGGGATGCAGTTATGCTTGAGGAGGAGGGAGTGCAAGGCATTGCAAGAGAAATTAGAACCAAAATTGTGTAGTGGCAATGTCCTTGGCAATCAAATGAATCTTGGCCTCTAAATCAAACAGATAATCATAGTGTAGATTAAACAGAAAATTCTCTCTCCCTTTCTTGTACTGGGATCCTTATGTGAAATGGGGGAAAGACTTGAGGTGATGGTAGTCCTCTCTGGGGGTTTCTTAGGGTCAGTTCTATAGCCCCTGCCTGCCCTGATGCTCCTTGCTGCTTTCTCCTTTCAGATCTGCTGTCTTTTCATGTCACCCACTGGAGAGTCACTTTCCTGGTGGACTTGTGGGACTTTTCCACGTTCTCTCTCTACAAATTAATTCTCCATCCACATAGGACAAGAAACATGCCTGGCGTGTACTTTGTCGGATGGGAGGGTGCATGGTAAGGGTGAAGATGGGTTGGTCAGGAGCAGCTGGTGGGCATAAGAACGTTCCTGGAGTTAGCCCCATGGTTTTACCCATCTGTGTGTCACACCCTCCTGGGCATGTGACCCTCACATTCCAAGTTGACCATCATGTGGGAGGGGGGATCTGCCTTTGAGTTCTGCAGCCTTGGAAAGACCTCTTTCCCCTGGGGACCCATGGTACTTCTAGAGAATTGGTTTCCTTTCAGCAGTACTTGCCTTCTCCTTCCCTCTATGTGTGTTATTTACCCTAACCCACCCTTGAATTTGGGGACAGGGAAGAACTGAGATGGGGGACTAGGACTGCTGACACCCAGTCTGTCTCCCACCATAATTCTCTGTGCCCAGTTCACATGGAGTTAAGGCTGGGGTCTTGAGATAGTCTGTCCTTTTACTAGAGTAACACATTTCCTCAACTGATTTTAAAAGTGAATTGACGTAACCATTGAGGAATTGTATTTATTCGGGGTCCTTCTAAATAGTCTTGGCTTTAGCTGACCAGAAGGAGCACTGATGGATTTGGAAGGGCTGAAGTGGAAGCCAAGCAGGGAAGGTGGGTAGACTCGTAGTTTCCTGCCCTTCACTCCTCCTCTGAAAGGGCCCATCCTGACCCAGCAAATGTGCTGGGGTCAGAGTGATGGTGAGGGAGCCGGTTTTGAGTCTCTCGAGTTTCCGGTTTATGCCAAGACCTTGTTCTGACTCAGTCCTTGGCTTGGCCCCGTTTCCTGACTGTGCCTGAGGAGCAGGGTGTTTCAGCGCAGTACACTGGCTGGCCCTGTGTTGTCCTTGGCTCAAGGAGGGGTCTCGGTCTGTTTAAGGTGATAACTCGATGGAAGCCTCTTGGGGAGCAGAGGCGGGCCATGCCTTTTGATTTTGCACGTTCCCGATGTCTGGGCAACATTCTGACCCATTTCCTGTTTCCTTTTCCAGGGTGGAAACTGTAGGATGATGACTCCTCCCTGTCTTCCCTGTGTCTCCCTCCAGGCTTCCCATGTGTTTGTGCCCTGCTGACCCCTCCTGCGCTCCCACACCCACTTTTCCAGCTGCTCTGCAGGCTCCCTGCTCTCAGCTGGGTCCAACACGCTTCCCTGAGTTCGTGGTTCCTGCCCTCCCAATGGTCTCCCAATGGTCTGCTCTATCAGGAGCTATCCCCCTCCTGAAGCTTCCTCAGGTTCTGTTGTCACCGTAATCATCATAGAAGCTCAGGTTTATTGAACGCGTGTGCCTGCCGCAGTGCTAAATAGAGACTTTTATGTACATCTCTCTGTATTCCTAAGGAACAACTTGCCTCTATTTTACAGTTAAGGAAAGTGAGATTCAAAGAGGTTAAGAAACTCATCTGAGGTCACAGAGGTCGTGGTTAATGGGTTCAGGATTCAAATCCAGGTCAGTTTTGCCCCTATTGCTCCAGATGGTGGAAAAAGAAGTGACTTTTGGGCTCCTGAGCAGCATCAGTGTGGCTCACCTGTGCCACCTGCTTTCTCCCTGGTCCGTCCTCACTCCAGTGACGTAACAGGTAAAGCTATCAGGTCTGCAAGATGGCAGGGAGCTGCAGGCCCGGGCTGAGGGCAGTGGAGAGCTATGTGAAAGGAGCGTGCGCACATGTAGGTGCGTGCTGGGGGAAGGACGAAGGTTCCTACCATGCTAAAGCTGTCAGCAGTTGTGTGCAAGCCATATTCTTGCGAAACAAGCCCGGCACCAGGCTTTTGCAGGGCTTATAAATAAAAGCTGCCTAAGTGCGGGCGTGTGTTTGTTTTTTCCCAGCTCTGATAGCCTTTTGGTCTGGCTTCCTTTTTTCTTTGGACTTTATCTGGAGACGTGTGAAGAACTGGAGGCCGCTGTGCTGTGTGTTTTGGCCGCGTTGAGCTTGTTAGCCCCGTGTGCCAGAGGCTTACGAGGGTGAGCCACGTGGCAGCTCTTCGGGCTCCTCCTTGGCCGAGTCTCCCTGGCAGAGCTGCTGGGGCAGCCAGAGTAGGCCCTGTGTCGAAATATCCACAGAGACTGTTTCCTGGCTGGGGAAGGCTCCGCCGCTGGTCTGGGCGGGCGGGCGGGCGGGAAGGATTCCGAGGCTAGTCCTGACGCATTAGGAACCAACCAACCATTTTATTACCAGTGCTCGTGTGGGAGAAACCCCTGTAAGTCGAGGAGCTGGTAGAAAAGTCAGGTGGTGGTAGCACTGGGATCTGACTGTCTGGAATGTGGTCTTCCTGACAGTTTCCTAGTCATCTGATCTTACAGACCGTCGTGCCAGCCTGGATCAGAACCACAACACTTGCCCTCTTTCCTGTCCCCCCCCACCCCCCGCCGTGTGTGCATGCGCACCCATGTGCGGACATAAACATGGAATTATTTAGAAGCATGGCTTTCCAGAAATTCACTCATAGGTGTTCCCTATGTTTGTTTACGGTGCGTTTCATCCCACGCTTGAGTCTGCATCCTGAGAAATGGTCGAGAGGAGCCCAGGGGCCATCGCAAGTGGTTGTAGATGGATGGATGGGGTGAAAGATTTAACAGCTCATGGCACTAAGATTTAAAACAAATCTCCTTCCAAACTCACTGCTGAGTTTGGGGGAAACTGAGGCTCAGGGAGGTTCATGTACAGTTGTAGAACCAGTACTCCAGTTGCTTACATGGTTATACCCTTTTCCATTTTTTTGACAAAAGACTATTTTTTTTTTTTTTTTTTGAGGAAAATCAGCCCTGAGCTAACATCCGTGCTAATCCTCCTCTTTTTGCTGAGGAAGACCGGCTCTGAGCTAACATCTATTGCCAATCCTCCTCCTTTTTTTTTCCCCAAAGCCCCAGTAGATAGTTGTATGTGATAGTTGCACATCCTTCTAGTTGCTGTATGTGGGACGCGGCCTCAGCATGGCCGGAGAAGCGGTGCGTCGGAGTAGCAGAGCGCGCACACTTAACCGCTAAGCCACAGGGCCGGCCCCCAAAAGACTCTATTAAAAACAGTGTTTGATGAAAGTCCTTGAATAACAACGCCCGAGAGGAAGAAGGTAGAAGATGCTGAGTTTGGGTCAATCTGGGCTGCTTCAGAACTCTAGCACACAGGTTCCTAAACCATGGTTCTCTCGTCTTTCCCTAAATGGTTATCTATTCGCAAACCTCTGGAGGTCAGCAGGAATGGCTGACCACAGCCGGACCCTCCGCCTGCCTTCCACCCCACAGGGGCTGGAGTGTGGGTAGGAGCCGGGCGTGATGGGGTGGTACATCAGAAGCAGGTCACTGGAATGCACACAGGTAAGTGCGTGCAAGGGGACAGGACCGAGGTGAGCAAAGGAGGAAGTCTCCCGGCAACCCGCCCCCTTTGGCAGGAAGCCCCACCACCTCTCTGGGCCCCGTCCACTTCCTGCTAGGAGCTCTCCAGAACTGTCCTGCTTTTTTTGGTTCACAATGAAATTTTATTTGGGTCACATGGTGCTTGAAACACGAAGACGGTCGGCCTAGGCTGGACAGCCTTTTGCCTCAGAGAGCATTTTGTTGTAGTCGAATTTGACTGTAGTGAGACATAAAAATGTAATTTGTTTTTCCCGAAGCTGCTGCTGACCTGCTCTTGGCCAGCTCTCTCAGGAATCCGGCTTGTGAATCATGCAGAGTCATTGTGGAGCCTGTGTGAGCCTGGTCTGCCTCTTGGAGGGTGGACCTGTGTTGGCTCATGCACCATTTTCTTGATTCTTGTTTTTCTTTCTCTTCTAGTATTAAGGGACATCAGCGAAAGAGGGAGGGACCTTGAGCAGATTTTATCTCAGTACATTACGTTTGTCAAGCCTGCCTTTGAGGAATTCTGCTTGCCAGTGAGTTGGGTTCTTGGTTTGTTTTTTGTTGAATTGACCATTTAAAATTTAATCATACAAATAAAGGTATGCAAATTGCTGGCGCTCCCCAGCTTGAATCTCTTTCCTCTCTCTGAGCAACCCTCTCTCCTGAAGTCTCAAGAAAGGACAGCCTGTGGCTCTTGGGGTCCTAACACTGTGTGCTCTGGGAGCTCTGTCCTGCCACTCTTTTTCGGGGTAGCCCTTTAGGATCCTGCTGTCTAATTTCCAGCAAGCTCTATGCTTCTTGCTTTGGGCTCATGATGTGAGACCCTTTATTGAGGGTGCATCATATCTAAGGATAGACTGGACCATTTGGATCTTCAGAAGGTCTGTGATGGTTGGAGTGTTGGGGCAGGGAGTGCTCAGCTACAGGGTATTCCCTTCTGAGTCTCTTCTGCCACTACACCTGAGCCCTGCTTTGAGCCTGTCTTTGGCCCCTGTATAAATTCCCATTTGGGAAGCATCGAGCCATGCTGGAATATGCTTCCTAACTTCCATCCTGGCACGGACTCATTAGTCCTCCCTGTGGCAGCTGGGAACTCTCTAGTGAGGTGGCTTTCAGAGAAGGAAGGTTGGGGACAGGGGAAATTCTCAGCTTTTAGCGAATTAGCCCTCAGCCCAGGAAACCCCTCAGCTTTCTAGGGTAGACAGGTGAATGTTGAGAGAAGGCAGCCAGGGACAAGAGGTGTGGAGTGGTGGGGTTGTGGTGGAGGAAGATGTGGTTTTGGAAGGAGAGGTATTTAATTCAGGAGACTCCTACACCTGTGTCAGGTGTCTTCTCCAGGTTGGCAAAACCATTGGTCTAACTCCCTCATGATTTATAATTCAGGTCTGAGACCCAGCAGGAGAGGTGGGGTGTTAGCCTGGTCTTGGGCGATATCTTTTGGGAGACTGGAGTCTGTGAGGGCGTTGAGAAGAGGTGTAGAGTGAGGCCGAGTGTGGGAGTTTCTCTGCTTCTCCTAATAATTAACTTCTTTCTTTCTCCTCTCCTGGAAAACTAAGATCCCAAACCGCCTTTGTTTCTTTAAGTATGTTAGTAGGTTTTGCGTCAAACCAGACTTTTGTTTCAGATGGGGACTGGCGGACTTTGTGAGTCAGCCTGAGTATGTCCTATTCATTCTCCTGGAGAGGATCGGGTTACAGGATTAGGTTTCTGGGAAGAGGGCAGAGGGGGCCAGGACCTGTGAAATTCTATCCATCCGTCCATCCATCTGAGGACCTCTCCTGCTCTTTTTAACTTAATAATAAGAACACAAAGTAAACTTATTATTGGACATACATTAGAGTTAACTACCAATTTTCTGATGTTTAACTTAGTTATAATAGAGCTCAGAATTCTGCACAAACATTTTCTGGGTTGTTTCTCCTTGTTCCCACCGTCTAGCCACTCTGCTCAGGGAAGATCAGCTCATTCCCGTGTGAGTCAGGAGCTTGGACCTGATAAACTGTCTGCCTAGGTCAAGTTGGGTTTGATCCTGACACACTTACTTGGGTTTCAGCAGTTCTTGTTTGGAAGCTGCACAGAGTAAAGATGCCCACGTACTGAAGGCATTGTTCATGTGGTCCTACCCTAAACTTAGGTTATACACCAGGACACAGTTATTTGTAAAATGGTCCACAAAATCTCAAACAATTAAAAAAAAAAGGATTATGTCTAATCATGGCCTTTAAAAAAAAAAAATGTAATAACAGAGCCAATGAAAATGTCATCAATGGGGATTACTTTTTCCGGGTTTACGCTTGTGCTAGACAGACTGTGTGTGTAGAAGTCCAAGGTGAACTGCTCCCCCTTTTAGTTTGGGTTTTTCTTTTTTTGTTTCTTTATTTTGAAGATCAGCCCTGAGCTAACATCCATGCTAATCCTCCTCTTTTTGCTGAGGAAGACCGGCCCTGAGCTAACATCTATTGCCAATCGTCCTCCTTCTTTTCCCTTTTTCTCCCCAAAGCCCCAGTAGATAGTTGTATGTCATAGCTGCACATCCTTCTAGTTGCTGTATGTGGGACGCCGCCTCAGCATGGCCGGAGAAGCAGTGCTTCGGTGTGCGCCCGGGATCCCAACCTGGGCCGCCAGTAGCGGAGCACGTGCACTTAACCGCTAAACCACAGGCCTGCCCCTGGGTTTTTTTAATTCATATTTTTCCTAGTGGGGAAGAGGCAATTACGTGTTTGGTTTCAAAGACCATGTTCTCTGTGCAGGTTGTAAGCTGACACAATGTTAAACGTTAATAATCAGAACTCAAGAAAAAGCTGATTTATTATGATTTAGATAAAGTGGATAAAAAATATTCCGTTTGAAGCTTCAAGCTGCCGCCCTCTGGAATCTGTAGTGAGAAGGCTGGCCCTTTCCCCATATTCCCTGGGAGAGGGCCTTGGGCCAGTTTCTCTCTGAACTCCTCTTTAATGCAATGTAAATATCTTTCTCCACAGACAAAGAAATACGCTGATGTGATAATTCCTAGAGGTGCAGATAATCTAGGTGAGTCTTCGTGGGGTGTCATCCTGTGGGGCATTGCTTCTGCTCTTTGTTAATCATACTTTGGGGCAGGATGTGGTGACCAGTCAAGGCTCTATGGATGTGCTGACTCACTAGGCTGCTATTATGAGCCAGAAAAGAATTTCTACCTATACATCTGGCCTTGGGAACAGGCCCCTGTGAATATGTATGTATGTATATGAGGGCAGATGTGAACTTGTGCTTCTCTGGCAGAAATCAGAGGACTGTAGACTATCTTCTGCTGTCATTCCCAGTGATGACACTTGGACACCTTGTATCTGAGGCCATTTTTTTAGCAAAAGCAGATTTCCTTCTTAATCTAATTTAGAATGACTTGCCATCAAGGTAGCCCTTCCTAAAGGGAGCTGGTTGCTACCACTAGTGCATTTACTTATTTGTTTTGGCTTGTCCAGGAGGTAGGAATATCTCTGGACATAGGCATAGTGAGGCAGACTTGATCTGTAAGAAGACCCTGTTTTCTTTATAATTTATTAGATTAAAATTATTATTAATTATTTTAATTAATTAAAAAATAATCATTATTAAAATTATTCTTTATAAATTTATTATAAAATATCATTTATTATTTATAATTTATATAATCTATATAATCTTTATAATTTATTTCAGTTTTTCTCCATTTAAAAAGTTTTTATTTTTTCTGAGTCATTTGGGAGTTAATCACAGCAATGAATATTTCACTCTGTATTTCTTAAAGATAAGGGCATTTTCATTCATATCCACAGTGCCATCATCACATTCAGGAAACTTAATATTGATAAAATCTCTTTTGACATTTTTGAGGAGTACAGGCCCATTGTTTTGTAGAACGGCCCTCAACTCGGGTTTGTCTTCATGTCCTCGTGATTGGATTCATTTCATACAATCTAGAGAGTACCAGGGAAGAGACGTTGTGTTCTTCGTGCATCACCTCAGAGAGCTCTTGCTGATTATCCCATGTCTGGTGATGTTAATGTTGATAACTTCCTGAGGTGTATAACTTATCTCTAATGCTAGGAAAAGAGAGTCCCATCTTTTTAATATCTTTGGAAGAGAGGGCTTTCTGTGGGGTCGCTCTACTTGGGATGAGGAGCTGGTACGTTGCCCAGTGGAAGCGTCTTACAGCTAGTTGATGGTGTCAGAATGAAGGCTGGTCCTGACGTCTGCAGAATTTTGATTGATTGCTTTCATCCAGTCGTGACTCTGATCATCTCCTGATAAGAAGCCCATTCATTAAGGGTTTACTGTGTCCCAGGCATTGTCTGTTGCACTCTAAGAACTCTCCTGTGAGGGAGGTCATATTAGCCACATTGGAGGGTTGGAGAGTTGGAGTGACTTGCCTGCAAGTGGCAGAGCCAGTTACCTGGAAGAGTTTTTAGCTTCTGGTTCGTGTGTGCCGTTCCATGCAAATAGACACACAGCCCTACACGTGTGCTCCCATCCCTCTGTGCGTCCCTAACACTCCGCTCGTCTCTGCCCCACAGTGGCCATCAACCTCATCGTGCAGCACATCCAGGACATCCTGAACGGAGGGCTCTCCAAACGGCAGACCAATGGCTATCTCAACGGCTATACCCCTTCACGCAAGAGGCAGGCTTCAGAGTCCAGCAGCCGGCCGCATTGACCCCCGTCTCCTTCGGACCCTGGCCCCTATCTTCAAGAGACAAGAGGAGGGGTTAGGAGGCACTGTTCATCTGTACATATGGTTTCCTATGACATTGCTGTATTTAAGAAAACACCATGGAGATGAAATGCCTTTGATTTTTTTTTTTTTTTTTTTGTACATTGGAGCGGCAGAATGAAACAGAACTTGACCCTGAGCTTAAATGACAAACTGTGCCAACTACTACTGGTGATGCCTAATTATGAATCCAACGTGTAACCAGTTATAAATACATATATATATATAAAAGGATCTATTTTTGTGTAAATGTACAAATACTGTAAAGCTGTTTGCCATAAGTATTTTGCAGGAGGACCTGTACTTGAGTGTTTTGGGACTGGAGCTGGAGTCTCACCAAGGGGAAACTGCCTATTGTGTTCCAGGTGGGGCCAGCTCAGGCGTCTGTGTGGGAGACGGGGGTGAGGAGGGAGGCTCGTGTCTCATTGCTCTGAGTACCTATGGGACTCGAGGGGAGTAGAGTTGGGGACCTTTGGTTGTCTTCCCTACCAGATGCCACCTTCTTGGAGCAGAACTCAATGATATGTCGATGATACTCTTTTCTTTTTTTCTGAGTTGAAATTAGGCAAGACCTCCACTCAAAGATCAAACTCAGGGAAGAGGCCCACTGAGGAGAACAAGTCTTCTGCGTTTTCTTCTTGGCCTGCGCCCGACCTCTGGCTGCTTGGGGAGCTCCCTAACTCCTTTCCTACTCTCCCACTTCTCAGTCTCTCCAAAAGCCAGAGCTGCCTCTCTCTCCTTCCCTGATGGGGACTTGATGGGGTTGCTTCCTGACAGAATGGGGAAGGAGGGATAGAACCGTGCCTGTTGATGTCGGAGGAAACCCTGGTTTCTCCTGCCTCCCAGGGAAGTCAGTGATCAGATCCCTTGGGCTCTTTCCTGGATTGTGGAGTGCACAGTGGCCCCTTGCAGCCTGGGCTTGGATTGAGGACCTCTGCTGGCTGAAGGACAGCTGGCAGCCCCTCACAGGGTGGGAAGAGAGCTCTGCCTGTGTAGGGAGTAGTCTCTTTTGTTCACCGAGGCGTGGTGGTTTGCAGCAAGATGAGGGTAGCATGTACCTTTCAGCAGCGATTGTCACTAGCAGCATCACAGGCAACCTGATTTACTTACTTACAATACTGCTGCCTGATATGGTGGCTGCTTGGTATGTAGAGCAGGGAAGAAGAAAGAGAGTATTTAAGTCATAGTTGGAGTCTTAGGTTGAAAACATTTGGGGTGAAGAATTCCGACTTTCCCGAGGGCTCCCTCTTGTTGGAAATTTCCTTCTTTGCAAGAAGTACAGATTCCTCAAGATTCTTGGTGGAGGGGTAGAGGAAATGGGGGGACCAAGCGAGATCAAGGAAGTATGATTATATGTCCTAAAGCCTCAGCTTTTAAGTGCAGAAGAGCCAGAGCCTTGTCATTTCCATGTTGACCATCTCAGTGCCTGGCAGGCTATGCCCTTAGTTATTCCATGTGGCTGCCACTGCCTGGAACATTTTGGGGAACTCTTCTCCTTCCTTTGCTTTCATAGGCCGTTGGAGCCATTCAGGTAAATCTGATGCCATTACTCTCTGGTCACCCTGAATTGTCCCCTTAGACCTCAGCACCATCTCGTTTGATTCCCCTTTTCTGGTCTCAAGTTGATTCTAAATTCTGTTTTGCTGTTTCAAAAAATCAGACATGATCTCCATCAGAGCTTTGCCACCCCTGAGACATTCAGGAGACTGTGCTACAGGCTCTGGAGGGAGCCCCCAATGGCAGCAACCGCCTGGTTGGATCAAGGGAAGGCTCCCGAGGTGCCTCCTTTGAAGGCCGGTACTCATTGGGATGGATAAGTTCTGGAGTATGTGTTTCAGAATCAGTATTTGTTATCTTTCTAGTCATGCCTTGTAGGGTTCTGAGATGAAGGGTGGGTGGCAGGCCTGGGTTAGGATCCTGAGGATCCAAGGGCCTCTTGCCTTGGTGGGGCCTGTGTGTGCTCAGGAGAAGCCCATCCCCATGTAGGGGGAGCCCCGGCCTTTCGGTGGGTAGCACGCTCCACTTTACTTGAAGCTCCCAGGTGCCAAACCATTTAGTGCCTTGGCTGTGTATCCCACTGCCTTGGAAGATGGATTCTTCTCATCTCTGAGCCTTGACTTACTTAGCCGCTTCCTCATCTACCTATGGTGTTGGGACCAAACCTCCAGTGTCGCTGAGTAGCCCAGTGCTAGCTGGGCAACAACTCTAGGGCTGCCCTGCCTCCTGGTAAAACCATCATCAATTCTTGGTGGCTGGGGTGGGGGCACTGGGCCATGCTCACTGGGCAGCACTGATGACTCCTCTGGTTGTGTGACACACTGCGCCTGAGGCAACGAAGGGCTGGGAAGCTCTGCCCCTCTATGGCGACCCCAGCATTTGGCCAACTGAGTGTCTGGTCTTGAGCTTTCTAAATGACAAATCCTGGACTTGATATTTTCAGAGCTCTCTGATTCCACTGGAGAGTCAGGGGAAAAATCATTAGGCCAGAAATCATGACACGAGTCATCTGGGTCCTCTGCTGTCCAGGGAGGAGACACCGATGAGCAGACTGGAGCCAATGTCGGTTGTGTGTGTATGGGAGTCCCTTGGCTTCAGAGCCACCCAACGGCACTTGCTTCTCCCTTCCTGCCCAGGTATTGTCCGTGGACCAAGTGTTTAGGACACAAGCATCCAAGCTGTGTCATGGGAAGGCCTGGCCTCACACTCCTTCATGCTAATGGGGCTTCTGCTGACCCAGGTTTCTTTTTTTGGGGCAGCCTGAGACCAGTAGGAACAGAGAGGTGGGAGTCTGTATAAGGAAGACGCAAGTGTTGTGACCCCAGGTGTCCTTTGATTTGGAGTGGATAGGGTGAGCCCTCGAAGAGGCGGTGGTTAGACAATAGGATCTCTGAAGAGGAGTCTGGGGCAGGGTGGGAGAGAAAGGTCTCCAGTTCACCCTTCAGAACCAGTTGTTCCTGCAACAACCCGCTCTGGCCTTGGCGGCTCGGCGGTCGTATGTACACTGGCTTCCTGCCTCTCCTGGGCTCGGAATTGGACACTTGTCTCCATGCCCAGGTGGGCTGCCAGTTTCATTAGGCCACTAGGTCAGGCTGAAGGCTCGCATGCTCCTCAGAGCTGTTGGGAAGCAGGAGGGACTGGAGCCCAGCTGGTTTGTGCATCACCTGCTTTGCTGCCCTTGTGCAGCTTCCTTGACTTTGCAGCCTGGACCTCTGCTAGCGCCCAAGGCCATTGGAGGGAAAGAGTAGCCTCTTGCAGGAAAGAGTTTCCTCTGCCCTGAAGTCTCCCAGCTGCCTGTCAGCCATTCCAGAGCTGTTCTGGGAAGGGCCGACTGGACTTCCCTACCATTCCTGCTCTTCACCTGTGCTTCGGGTGGAGTAGGGGAGACAGTGGTGTCAGATGAAACAAGGGAGAGAGAGGTTGGGAAGATCATCATGGAGTCAGGAGCTCAGAGTCCCCTTGGATCTTTTGTCTCTGAGCCCTCTGCTGCCCTGCTTGGGCCAGGTACCTGATGTGGCTGTCAGCTTCCTTGCTGCCCTTAGAGGCATGAGTGCCTAGCCGGTCCTGCCTCAGGAACAGGGTGAGTAGCTAAAGCAAGACTTAGGCTTTTTTTCCTTCTTTCAGATGCTTGCTCTTCTCCTTTTCTTTCTGCTGCCCTGCCTTTATTGTTAGTAGTTAACGAAAATGACCACATACTATGTACTTTGCTGTAAATAAAGACTGAACCAAAAGAGCCAGCTCTTGCCTTCTTTGTGGTGCTTGGAGGAGGCGCAGTGAGCGAGGTCAGCGGCTGTGAGGGCTCAGTGGCTGGTGGGAGGGGAGCTTGCTGAGTGGAGATGGTTACGCTGTCGCTAAGCCTCGCGATCCTGGGCTAGTCAGCTGGCGCAAGATGAGTGACTTGCACGTTTCTCCTCTGTCCCTTTTTTGGAGACTGTTCTCTGGGATGTTTGGGCTCCCTGCTCTCACTGATGTCATCTGGTTTATGCAGTCCCCTCCCCCATTGCCTTCCCTGGGCCGTTCACTACCCCTTCCTCAACTTCTATGCTCAAAACCAAAACAAAACCTAAACAAAGTAAACTTTTGGGGGTGGATGGAGGAAAGTTTATGTTATAACAATGCAAACAACTTCAAACTGAATACACATACATATGAAAAGTGATTACTCTGAATACATCTAATTGATATTCATATATCAGTCAATATAGATATTCATATATCTCCCTGTTTTCTAGAAGACCCAGGTCATTCACCACTGAGGATTTTAAAAGAATTGGCTTTTGTGCTGTTCTGAGCACCCTAGCCCCCCACCACCTCCCCACCTTTCTCAGCTTCCCTTTCATCGCTTCCCCCACTGCCTCCCAGGCAACAAATGACCCTCATTATTGTGCAGAGCCACTGCTCTTTCCAGCGACTTATTCCACTGGCAGGTGCAAACCCATCAAGAAGTTCAGCAGATCCAAAGGATTTAAGAGGATCCACCTTCAGAAGGCTGCTGTGTTTTTAAATAACACTTAGGTGTCTCTGCAAGAGCTGGTATTATCAAGTGTGACCATCGTCCTCAGACAAATGAAGACACTGTGAGTCACAGAGTAAGTGGCTTGCCTGGGTCGCACAGGTAGTGGTTGTGCAAGCCAGTTGAGCTGTGATCCAGTTTTCTCTGTGTTCCTCTCACATCTCCCCTGTCTTATGTGGACCACCTCTGGAGTTCGTGCTTTGCTTGGGACTCAGCTCACTTCTCAGAACTCAGTTTTGCTCCCTTGTTGTAACTGGACGGACAGTGGTGCAGGCCAGTGAAGCCCTTGAGCGAATTTGCTTTGTCTTCCCACCCTTCTGTCATAACATCCTCTGAGCCAACCTTCTGCTGCACAACTAGGAGACACCCATTTGACTAGAGCTGCTTTAATCAAACCATTCGTCAGTTCAGATTAAAAGAAACCTGTTAGAACCTGCTTAAAGGTTTTGAAGAAGAGGGGTGGGGAAGGAGACCTGAGATGTGGGAAAGTCTGCTTTGAGAGGATGGGACCAGAGAGATGGATTTCTATCATCATCTGGTCCTGGTGAATGTTTAGATTTCTATTTTAAAGCAGAGTATAAACAGATCATTTTCTAAAACCCAGAATGAAATTAACCCACTTGCTAAATCTTGGGCTATGCCTGGATATATGCTTATATATTTTTTCAATAAACTATGAACTAAAGTAACATAAAATAGCCGTGTGAATCAATTTGAGCTGGGACTAAATCCAGACATATATTCTCATTTAGTGAGTGGAGGTGAGGGGGCAGAGAACACGAAATTGTGCCTTACACAAGCTCATTTTTTCAGACAGTCCAATCCATGCTTGGTCTGCCCCTCTAATATGGAGGGTTTGTTTGGACTAGATCAGTGGTGCCTGTGGTGTGTCGTCCAGAATGAAAATGGCATGGAGTCCAATGCAGTGTTTGTTGAGTGCCCGCTCCTGGGCCAGGGAAAGCCAGCATGGCCTCTGCCAGAAAAGCTCACGTGTCATGATGGGGTTTTATGGTGAAAAGCCCAGGATTCTTTCATGCAAGGTAGAGTTGCAGATGTTTCAAGATTCCATGTTCGTTCTTTTCAGTTCCTGAAATTTCGAACTTAATGGTAATATTTACATCGGACTTTTCCAGCCTTCTGTACACTTTCACTTTGCTTTATTTGATCCTTAAAGCAGTCTTGCAAAGTATGTAAGGAATGTGGTTCTGCTCCGGTTTAACTGAGGAAGGAACAGACTTAACCCAAAGCTGCTAGGAAGTGGGACAAGCTGTATGGGAAGGTTGTCCGGTGCGTGTCTGCCA